GAAAACTCATCAGTTGCACAAAAACCACCTGGTTACTACAAATCCACAATATAATTTATTCTCTAATATTCATCACTATGCTGCATGTACCTCCCCACCCAATATTAAAAATTATTTGTTTAAAAAAATTATGCTACTAGAAGGGCTGGTGATACCGTGATTGATAAATAATCACCTGATTGGTTACCACTTCTATGATATCAGTTGGTTGATTGGTTATAAGTTTTTCAGTCTTAAGTCTTTCAGATATCATAGTCGTACATTTTTTTTTTATATTTTTTCATATTTTCTGTATTTTTATCTATTTTAAAATTTTTATTATTAAATATGAAAAAATGGGTTGACCAAAATGGTTGGGTTGACCTTCCATCTAAATAGAAAAAGTATTTTTTATTTATAAGTCAATTTTAAATTTTGTATTCCATTTTCATTATATAATACTTATTTTTTTAATATGATGATCATATAATATTAGAGATGTGTAAAACTTTTCTGCAATTTTTTTTTATTTTTTTTAAATTTAATTATTTAACTATGACATCATGGATTGACCCATTTAACTTGGATGATTGAACTATCACACACCACCTAGATGAAAAACAAGTTTTTCCAAGTCAATTATAAAATTTGCATTATACCATCTTACTAAAATAAATTTTATTTAAGAAACCATCATTTATTAGTATACAATTGTCCTTCATGTTTATGTTGGCCATAAATAACTTTATTGCATTTGACTTGGAATGTGTTGCTCATGGAAATTTCATCAAATAGTAACAATAACAGTAATAAAATTTCGACATTTTTTATCAAAACCAATGTAATAAGGACATCTATTTGAAGCATGGCATACCGGTGGACTTGTTACCTTTCAACCTAAAGGCTTGGCTTCAAATCTTCTTACTTGTACGTTATATCAATGTTGTCTTACAGTTGAATCAAATAATTAAATTGATTGACTTGTCACCGAGACAAATTTTTGAGTATGTTTCAACATAAACCACTTCGTTGCACCAGGAAAAGAAATCAACTTGGTCAACAGCTAGATGACCTTACTCATTATACCATTGACCCATTTGACCAAGTCAATAGGTTATAGGTAAGATATTAATTTTTTTTTCTTTTTTATATTTTTATCCATTTCCGGTTTTACTAACAATATTTCTATTTTTCAAACATATTTTTGTTTAACATGAAGAATATATAGTGTTTTAAAGACGTACTCAATTTTTTATGAATTTTACAAATTTTTTCTATATTTTTAATTATTTAACTCGTGACATCACAAGTTGATTATTGATTGGAAGGAAAATGCAATTCCAAGTGATCATTAGAACATTGGTCTTTTATCATGTGGTTCAAGACCAGTTGATCTATCATTTGACCAAATTTATAGACACATTTACCACCAAATTGCTTGCCAACAAAAAAAAAAAAAAAGAAAAAAAGAAAAAACTTTGACTTGGATAAAAACATGGTAACCTATCCAATTAAACATTTGAACCATATATTTGGCCATGTTAATGGGGTCATGGGTTAAACATCAATTCTCTTTTTTTTTCCTAATTTTGGTATTCCCTTTCCATCATTAATAAAAAGAATCTTATTTATTATATATACTTATATTTTAGTATAACAATTATATAAAATGTGAGATGTCCCCAAAAATTTCTACAAATTTCTAAATTTCCTAGAATTTGATTATTTAATTATAGCATCAGGGGTTAACCAATTTTACCTTAATAGTTGAACCACTAACCCGCCACCTACATGGAAAAAATGTTTTTCTTTTGGGTTGGTTTTACATTTTGTATTTCATTTCCATAATTAATAAAAGTATTTTTTATTTCACATGTCTTTTTGTTGAATATAATAAATATATAACATTAGATATGTGTCCAAATGTTTTCTATAAAATTTCTGTATTTTTTATATTTCTTTCTTTTTCTAAATATTTATTACTTAATTATGACATTATGCTTTGAACCATTTGACCCAGAAGATTGGACTGTTGACCCACCACCTAGATATGAAAATGGTTTTGTTTTTGGATAAGTTTTGAAATTTGTATTTCATTTATATCATTAATAAAAATATATTTTTTTGTTTATAACACTTATTTATATTTAATATGGTTAAATATATAATATTATAGGTGCCCAAAATTGTTCTATAATTTTATGTATTTTACCACATTTTTTTATATATTTTTAAATTATTAATTTCTTGTATAGCCAACACCGTTTTAGAAATAAAAAAAAAATGCACACGACCAAACCTGCTTAGAAATAAAATATAACCGTTCAACAGAAAGAAACACATGGTTGAGATTTAGGCTGAGTGTGAAAGGAGTACAAATGCAAATTTGTAGAGTGCAAAACCTTATATTTTGTATGTATTTACGCTGTACATATTTGCATTTGTACTGCTTCCAAACTTAGCCTTAGGGGCTGTTTATGTTTGATTATATTTTATTCTTTATCTAACAAAAATATAATCAATGGTGTTTGTGATTCAAGTATAAACACCATCACATCATATAAACAATGGTGTTTGTGATTCAAGTATAAATAGTGTTTCAATTCAGCATTGTAGAATGAAATATCAAAAATATCAAATTTTGTTGACGTTCTTAAGATCTAGGGTGGAAAATTGCCACTAATTTGGTTGATTTGGTTTAGATACTAATTTTCTTCTTTTCTCAGAACTTTATTATAAGTTCATTTTGTCATGGTTTCTAGTTTCTACCATGAGTTATAATCTATCTACCTACATAAACCCTCCCTTGTTAGTGTTCAAGGTAATTCATTTATCACAGCCACCAATCATCAGCTATTCAAAACGTTGCTCCTGTGGCGGGTGAATGAAGTTGGAGATTGTAGTGGTAATGAAAGATGCGTGTTGGCAGGTTTATATGATTAAACATGACTGTTTAGAATAACCCACGGAGGTCTTTGTATACAAGAGTATGAGTATCAATACTTCGTACAGGAAAGTTGGACCCCGCCACCTTGCTCTGGAGTGAAACTGAATTCAGACGTATAGGGGGTGTTTTCAGAGATGAGGGGGCTGTTTATATGATTAAACTGCAGAAGTTTTGGATTGACTCCAAGGAAATGCAACAATTAGAAATGGAGAGAGACTCCAAACTGGTAATAGGCTGGCTGCAAACTAGAAGCTTGGGGAACAAGGATTTTCAGACAACAGCTAAGAGTAATTTCAAGCTTAACAAGAGAGATTGGAATGAGGTTTAATTGAGAAAAAAGATCAACAAAAAAAAATGAGATAGTTTTTGTCAAAGGGTTCTTCATCTAGCCCTTGGATGGTGGCAGTTTGTAATCTTTATCCATTATTTTTAATGAAAGTTACTGTTTCTCATAAAAAAAAAGAATATCAATACTTTGAACCTTGGTTGCAATTAATGTTGAACTAATTTCATTTTTTTTCTTAAAAACAAGTGTTTGCTAGAATTCATGAAAATTTTGTTTTGACAATCCTAATGAGTTAATTAGTTTTTAACTTATACATATATAATATAAAATATAAAATTTATTAATTATAAAATTCATATAATTACATACATAAAAAATTGTACATCTATAATATTATATATTTATCATATTAAATATTAAATATAAAAATAATATAAATGAGAAMTTTGTTATTAATGATAAAAATTGCTAAAAATACAAAAAATACAGAAGGGATTTGATGTCTAACATGTGACCCATTGACCAGGCCAAAAGGTTCAATGGTTTAACTAGATGGATCACTAGGGTTGTGTTTGGTATCATTGCCACTTTTACTTGCATTGTTTTCGGTTGGTCATACAAATTTTAGGAGAATATATATATATTTCTTCAATGCTTAAGTAGTTATATGATGTAATGTGACAAGACCATTTCTCAAAAATGTGTATTGACCAACCTAAAATATTGCAAGTAGAAGTGGCAATGGTACCGAACACAACTTAGTTAGAGTTCATTTTCTAATAGTGGTGACTAAAACATGTATAAAGGTTACTAGTGTCGAATTTCTAAGCGGTGCTAAAGTTTTAGAAGGCTATAAGTTATCAATTAGAGACTCCTCTTGAAATAAGTTTGTTTTCTGTTTAAGCATGAAAAACCCATGGATAAAGGCTCCATCAATTAATCCCCCCCCCCAAAAAAAAAAAAAAAAAAGAGAAGGCTCCATCCATTTCATTTACCAAAGCCCATATCATGGCCCCCAACTAGTATGTATTAAAAAGCAATGCCCAAAAGTGCTTCTTCAAACCTCTGATTAGCCCCCAACTAGAAAAAAAAAGGGCTAAATAAAATAGGGTTTTTACCGTTCAATCCACCCCCAGAATTCCTAGTTCCACTAGATGCCAGCTCGGAATTGATACCAATTCACAAGCACGTATGAGTGTTATAGGTGCCAGCTCGGAATTGTTGCAAGTCTGGAGTTCAAATAAGAATTCTGAGGTGGAGTGAAATTTAGTTCGAAGAGTATGGCCCCGTAAAATTGATAAACAATCAACCAAGCGGTCTCATCCAATTGGCAACCAATCCACTGGTTTTGATTCAAATTCACGTGGGTCTACGATGGGTGAAAGCTTTTCACGTATACAAAAAGGGTTCAACTATGTACCATTAAAACATGATACCAAAGAACTTGTAACCACTGAACCATTATCACAGTAGTAACCGATGATGTGGTACTTATGGTATTTATCAAGATTCACAGAGGGTGATTGGTCAAAGGCACAACTGGTGTAATAGAAGTGGTAACCAATCAGCAGCTAGAAATTGCCTTCCCTCTGTTTCAGCTAGGAAAATGGGGCCACCACACATTAGAGGGTAGCCTGTCACCTAACCCCATAAACCCCCCCCCGAGTCTCCACTGCAAACCTGCGAGATCCCTTGTCAACTGACCCAGATATTAACAGTTCTAGATCCAAAAACAAAAGTACCAACGATTAACAAACAAAGACAACCAATCAGCAATACAGAGGCCAATGATGAAACAAGGGAAAAAACAACAAATTTTTAGTTCATAAAACTAACGACTTTTCGTGATTGTTCTCATTCAATAAATGACAGTTGTATGAATTGAACAGCAGCGGCATGTAGTTCAAAGCCAGTATCGTCTTCTAAGTACATGGTAAATCTAATTGCATGGCTAATCTTCATCAGGTGGAGCAACCTTCAAGCTTTGCAAACAATTATTTCAAACCGATTGCAAATGACAGCTTTGGCCGCGATTTATTCTTACCTAATAGCTTCATCTGATTTGCCCGCTCTTGCTCCTCTTCCATTTTCTTCCTTCGCATAGCCTCTTCTTTTTGTCTTTGGAGCTGTTCCAACTCTCTATACCGTTCCTCCTCCTTCCGCTGCTGCTCTAAAGCTTCTCTTCTCTGAGCCTCTTCCACCTTTCTCCGATTCTCCTCAAGCATCCTATCCAGCTCTTCCCTCTCTTTTCGAGCTTGTTCCTATGAGGTACATAGAACCAAATTTAAAACATAAGACACGTAGAAAATATCCAAGCAAAAAAATTAGAACATCATGATTAAGTTTTCAAGGTAATGAAAAATGAGTATTTAACTTTTATTCGATGGAACAGGAAACCATGTTTTTGCTGATGAGGCAGTTGCTTTTGTTTTGAAAAACAATGTGAAAGATCGTCCTTCAAGATAAGGACACCCCCCCCCCCAAAAAAAAAAGAAAATAAATTGAAGGAATTAAAAAAATTAAACACCTACATCATCAAATAAGCTTACCTCTTTTTGTCTTGCTTCAATAAGAGCAGCTTCCTTTTCCTTTTCAAGTTGAGCTGCAACCTCATCAAGAAGTTTCTTCCGACCTTCCTCAAGTCGCCTCTGTATTTCCAGTTTTATCTCCTCAGAGTTCAAGCTCTCTTCAACTTTTTTCCGAATTGCTTCCTCAACTCTCCTTGCAGTTTCTTCTTCTAATAGTTTCAACTCTGCCTCACGTTGACGCCTGATAGAACATGGGAAAGTTAAAGAGGATAACAACCTTTGATCCAGATAAAGAACTCAGCATTTTTAATTCCAAAATACGTCTTTTTGATGCCAGAGAGTAGAACTGAATCAGCAAGTGGCATGGCAAGCTTCATGTTTTTTTCTTTCACTATGATGAATGACCAACTAATCTCCGCGTTCACCATGACACTATACAAGCTTATGCTTATAAGGCATACCTCTCTAAAAGATTCCTGATCAAAACATATGAGTTCTCAAACTGGTGAACAGTAGATAAACGAGGCAGCAATTGGATCATCAAATACAACAAGTTGAACTATAGCAGTAGCTTCCTTCAGAAAAAAGCCTGTGGAGAAGAATGTCAAGTAATCTGTTGAAAGGCTTAAAACCTATCATGGAAAAAATTTTCAATCTTGGCAAGAAAGTATACTTCTGACACAAGCAAATGTTTATTCCAATACAAAGAATTCTTCAACCATCAATAGTTGGGGACACAAGCAATCAACGACAACAGCCAATGGTTAACCATCTTTAAGCAGACAGTTAATGGGAAGAAATATCCACTACCTAGTTGAAAGTGGAGATTTAGATAACTTCACCATGAAAGATACTTAAAAGCATCTCATTCATGGCAAAAAACAAATCCCAGCATAGCACCAGAAATGAAAGGCTTCCTGATCAATTCACATCAATAACCACTTTGGCAAGAGTCTACCAATGGGGTCAAACAAATCCAACTGCTGATACCAATCCAGAAATGTTCTAAATGAAAACTGGCATTAAGATCATAGACCAAGAGATTAGGATGGATCAACAGTGCCTACAGGATTTATCCTGAATGAGGAAGCCCAGACACCAGGCCCACTTTTGCACTAAAAATATCATCCAAGATTCATTTCATTATCCAGAAAATATTTCTAATACCTCCCATTCCCCTCCCGACACACACACAAAAGGAAAAAAGAAAAAGGAAAAACTGAAGAAAAGGAAGAAAGTGAGAAAAGATGAAAAATTAACTACTCTAGTTTGTGATATGAAACTATTTCAGGGGAAACTAGAGTTCCCTGGTTACTGGTATGACAGAGACAGGGTATGAGGGTAAGGTGAAAAAAATGATATTAAGTTCAGAAAGGTTTATGTTAACGTGCTAAGGGTAAAAACATAAACCATGGTACAGACACATACATCATGAATGCAGAGGTTAATCTAAAACGGGAAGGCACATCATTTTGTACAAGACCATCAACTATTGAGTTAAGCTAATCTCAGAACCCATATGAACTGGTTATTTGCACAACCATATATGACAGGCACAATACAGATCTGGTATAGTCAGAGAGAACATCTATCTGAATTTGGCATCCTAACAGTCAAATGGAATGAGGGTCTTTTCTCAAATTGCTGGATGAGGCAATAAGAACTAAAGTCAACTAGTAATACTTTTGATAAATATCACCAAAGATTCCATTATCTGTGTCATTGATGTTCATGAACCATCCGGGAAGACTAACAAGTTCCCCAGCCTATAGAAAACTCCAATAAATTAGTTAGTTCCCAATCTTGTCCTTGACAAAGTCATTGTGTCCATGACAATCTAAAACTATAGGTATCTATTAGTAACTACTTTCAATTTTAAAACAAAAACAAGATGAATAGCATAGCTACATAAACAATAATCTATAGTTTTCTAGAAAATAAAGAAACATAGAAATCGCTTTTATGTATGATAAGTAATTGTTCCATTAAGAAGAAAACGTGGATAAGTATAAATTCAATGTCCTGATGGTATAAAAAATAAATAAGAAAATGTCAGCACTCAAGTTGGATGGGATAACCCATCTGGGTGAGTGATATGTGTGGTTTGAACTGATGACCAGATAACCACTCCCTCACCAGAAACCAGATGACAAGGCTTCTAAGTTCTAACTGCCTCCAGATTTCTCTCAAATCTAGGAGATTATCACAATCTGACATCTCTTTCAACGACAGAACTCTGAAAGCCTTTGGAGAAACCCTTTTATCCCTTTCATTGGGCTACAAAATTATCCTAAGATCAGATGTGTAAAACCAAGGGTTATTTTTGATTTCCAAAATAAAAACTGTCGCACCAGCAAAATTATATATTGAATACCCCCTAAGATGTCAGGTAACTCATATACCCCAAGTAGCAGTGTTTTAAAAGTGCAAGGTGGAAAAAAGTGCAAGGGGCATTTTGTGCCTGAGGTGCAAGGTAAGTTGTGCACCTTTTTGAAGCAAGGCACAAAAATATAAAAAAATACAAAAATACAAAAATAATAAACATAAAATTAATTAAAATATAAACTTAAAACATTTGCATTCCTGATTCTACGAGCCTTTTTGTACCAAGCTCCTTGAGGCAAGCCCAAACAAGTCCATGTTAGGGTTCTTAGATTCTTAACTCCTACCAAAAAAATGATTTTATAATTTTAATTGTCTTTTAAAAGGGTATTTTATTTGGGCTTGCCTCAAGGGGCTTGGTTGGGGGTCCAGGGGCTCCCAGCCACAAGCCTTAAAAAAAGAGCAAAATGCACAAAATTTTGAAAACGTGCGCAGGGCGCCTTTTGAAAGTGCTGCGCATGCACCTGGGCACACTTCTTAAATCACTTTCATTCAGGTAGTAGGATTCAAGTCTCATTAGCATGCCATACCAATAATATACTATGGTACATTACTTCAATTTGGGCTTTAATAGACTATTTCATGTTTTAATTGACCAACTTAAAGTTAACTTACACCGAGTGCAACTTGGCATAAGAGACAAACCATAAAGGATTCTTTTTTCAGATTTTTCATGTTTTTCTTTGAGCAAAATAATGTGTTCATGAAATGCATGCAACACTTATAAAAAAAGCCATTACCCAATGTTGGTYCCAGCTATCTAGAATCTTGGTAGGGGTAGACTAGGTACCACCTAATCTTTGGCATTTTTCATACAAAAGAAACACCTGATACATGAAAAAGGTGTGCACCTTATATGAGGCGTGCACTCACTTCACACTTTATGCCATTCATGCTTCACACCTAAAGATTTGCACCCAACAAACTAAAAAAAACAATAGAAAAAAAAAAACCAACAAACTAAAGAAACACCTGATCCACCATTTATGCCTCATTTACTCAAAATCCTGGATAAAAAATGCTTAAAGGTGAAGAACCTCCTTATTCTTGATTCTAATTGTATAATAATATCCCTTGGTGAAGGATATCTATCCATTATGCCAAATGGCCAATAATTTGAAATTTTGAAGAGTTCACTGATATGTAATAGTTAAAATTTGTTTCTACCAACTACAGGCTTGCATGCTTTAGAAAACCATGATTCAGTTTCCTATCATAAATGTTATTTTCATGCTCACAGCTAGATTTTGCACTGCCCAATTACTAAACAAGCTTTTCCTTGGATATTGGACTTGCCACTCTCCAGCTCTTTATATTCTCAATGGCAAGCAGCCCACCTTGATGAAGTGATCTTCATCGCTAACAGTCTGAACTGGAGATGTGACAGCCAGAATATTTTATCCATCTTGGGAAAATCTCATCTATACTATACAGATTCTTAGGGTCCATTTAGTTCACAGTCAGAACTGGAGTGGTATATTCCCATAGCCTGTTTGGTTCGGACAGGAATCTGAATGGGAATTGGAATCAGCTGGAATGGGATTTCATTCCCAAGGGAGGGGGAGGAAATGGCCATTCCCTCATATGGGGGAATGCCATTCCACCAGGAATGGGAATGGGATTCCAATTCCGACCAACCAAACAGTTGGAATCAGAATGGCCCACTCCGATTCCAATTCCAGACCCCTATTCCCACAAACCAAACACACCCTTAGTCTTTTCATTTGTGATTGTGTCTTATTTTTTATCTCTCCTGATTGATGTAACAACACCGATAACCTCATATTTCCACCACTGTAATGATAGTAAGAAATTGGTGAGACAGATGCAAAAACAATGACCAGGAAGGGCATTCCTAAATAGTCTATGCATGTGTATGTTAATTAATTGATGGTTTATATTTAGAATTAGAGGATACTAAATGGATTCTCAAGGGATCACATGTTATAGGCACTGCTGAACCTTTAGTACTGACAGCAGGCACACTAGGCCTAAGAAGATCTGATACCTACATCTGAGTTTTTTCCATAGTGTCCCTGTATAAAACCCATATAGCTTAGCATTCTTTCTTAAGGAGTATCCTCAGCCCACTGCTGTCTTATTGTTCCTTCCAATTCTATGTTTTAGACTGCTGGGGTACTACTTAATATCATATTAATTAAACCTTTTAATCATGTAAATTATCAAAGAATTATTTTACCCTTTAATTCAATATGGATTATGGCAACAAGGGTGCAGTTCTCTATATAAGCTCAGTCATTTCCTGATAGCCTCTAAAGTCTAAAACCTTAAGCAACCAATTAAACCATGTGGACACTGTATATCAGAAGCCCATAAATAACAAAAATGATATCAATGTAAACATCAGTTCTTCCTATTGTAGAAGTGCTTGGAGTAATAAGAATCTCTATAAAGCAAGCCATTACAATCATCTTTACGTTCTATTTCATAGAAACACATCTGAAATACTTCAAGAATGCAGAAAACATGGACTAACAAACTAGACTAATGCCCCAACCAACTTTAAGGAAGACCAAAAAAATTTCCAAATAACACGGACCAAAAAATAAGTCCAAACAAACATAAAAAATGGTCGATATACCTTTTCTTTTCTTCTTCTTCTTCTTCTTTTTTCAATTTCTCAATGGCATTTTTGCGCTCTGTTGAACCAAGACTTGGACTGCGAGACCTGTTTATAGGAGAGACTGTAGTACTCCTACTTCTTTGTCTCTTGTGTCGTCTTGGAGTTGGAGAGCGGCTTTTCCGGCGCCTTGTAGTTGGTGAACGACTTTTGCGTCGTCGTGGGGAAATAGAATGACTTTTTCTCCTGGTGAATGAAGTAAAAGTTAGTAAAAGAACACTTGAAAAAAATTCAAGTAACACAATAGAAACTACTAACAAGTCATTCCCACCATCCATAGTAAGTTACAACATAACATCAGCAGTTACCTCACATACTGTTATGAATAATCTTTGTGCGCTCCATCTTTTATGACATGAAGTCTTGTATGTCCCAATCAAGCCAGCAAAGGACACCCATCGGCACCCATCACCTGCTTACTTCCCAATGCAGGGAAGAAACTATATTTATTTAATTATTTTTACAACGAATATGTGTTTTCTATCTCGCTCTAAAAAGTGTTAGATGTTATGCCCCAAAATATTTTATTCAGTGCTTCTCAGATTTGTATGAACAGAATTGTCCTTGAACTTGGATGCCTCATTATAAACAACTACTTAATAGTTAAATGTTGTTTATAGAATCATCATGTGGAGGACAATATTGGGAGGACATGAACAGAAGCATGAGAGCGTCAAGCTTAAGCTTGTACGCAGTAGTGCTCACTGGAAGTGAAGTCCCTCTGGATGGCTGGTGTCAAAAGTGTGACAACACCAATGGACAAAAATATACAATTAATATATCATACGTGCCCACTTGAGAACTGTGGAGTAAAGATTATGTATTGGACAGTGGCCTTGGGAAAGACACATCAACCTAAGTCTGATGGTGATTTCATTTTCACATTCATGCCTGAAAAATGACATGAGGTTTAGGTAAAGGTCAATATATTCTGCAGTATGAGATGTGCACATTCAGTATCCTAACAGAGTATGAGCATTTGAATTACCAAAGGAAATTAAAAATATTTAAGGGATTCCTCGTTTTTTATCGACTCTTCACCATAGGTATAGATATTAGAGTGGCAATCCACCATCAATAAACACAAAACCCTGTTTGTCAAGATTGGCACCTCCAAGCTTCATGATATTATTTTTGAGCTTAACTTCATATGAAAGTGCCTTGTGCTAAAAACACCATAGAGCATTTTTCAATTACGTACAAACAATGGCTTGATTAATCCTATATTTATGGATCTGACAGGCCAGGTGACAAGCACAAGCAGTTGCGCCACAATATGCTGTATCAATTCAAACATGTTCGCATCTTATGAGTTATTCCACCCATTTGTGATAAATCATAAGACCCCCTCTCCCATTCAAAATCATGAATATAAGCTTACTGCAGATATTAAGAAAGTTTAAAACACTGAATCATTGGTCGAATTCAAGACATCGAATCATCATTCGAGGCTCCACCTTTAAAACATGCATACACCGATCCGAGCATGAAAGAAACTTCTGAGCACAATCAAATAGGTTTCAGATAAAAAGGATGAAGTACAGAAAAAACAAAAGAAAAGGATCAAATACGTACAAAATAACTCAACCGAAATCTATTTGATTTCCGAATGACAGATATTTCATCCGAATTGATGATCCTTGTTCTAAAATCACAAATATTAAAGCAATGGATTGTGATAAGGGTTTTCCGTGTTGGTAGTAGTATCACCTGCTATGAGAATACGAATATGGAGAACGGCTTCGATCTCTTCTGCTTCTACGGCTATGTCTGTGTCCAACAGGAGATGGAGAATGCCGTCTCCTGTACGACGGCGAACGCGACAACGTCCTTGCCATCTCGTTCTCTTAAATTAACATAAAACAAGTGTCCAATCCTCACTGCAAATCTTTTGCTAAAAAATTCTATCTGGCGAAAAGAAAACACACACGACCAAGCTTTGACTACAGCGATTCCCCTGTAACATCCACAAACAAGGAATCAAAAAAAAAAATCTTGTAAAAGGAAAAAATAATGAGATAACCCAGAAGAAATCCTAAATAGAATACCTCTTGAAAGCAACCTGAAAGATCTGCACATGGAGATCTTTAGGGACAATTTCATGGTTACAGTTTAAACCCTAACTCTTAAAAAAATAAGAATCTAGTCCAATCGAAACCCTAGAAAGAGAGATTGAAGAAAATAAAATGCATGAGAAATATGCAGGACAGATCCCTCTYGTTTAAGATAAGGTTGCAGATGGCAAAGAAAAATCTCTCTCTCTCTGTCTGTCTCTGGAGGGAGGAGCCGAGCAGCACAGCAGCGCTAGGATGGGAAAACAAGGCGTTTTTTTCTCAGACAATAAGAATTAGGGGGATCCGTGCGATGCACGGGATCTAACCGAATTATAAGGGAGGAAGGAATTCAATGTTGTTTAAAATAATTAATTATTGTTTCAATAATTTGTTTTTTATAATTATTATTTTTTAATAATTTATTATGAAAATAATTTAGTAATTTGAATTAATTGTATTAATAGTTTTAAATAAAAATAATAAAGTATTATTAATTACTTAATAAAATAATTATTTTTCCATCTTATATGTTAGTGTTCTATTTTATTTTATTAATGATAAAATCTAACAATTTTTTGTAAATATTACTTAAATATTAATAAATATATAAAATTAGGCTATAGCCTATAGTCATAATTAAATTAATCTCTAAATTAACTTTTTTAGTCACAATTTAATTAATATAAGCCCCAACTTGAGGTTTAAGACTGTGGGTAGGTTTAGGTTGATCCTCATCATGACCCAACCTACCCAAGTTGCACCCCTAAAAGCAATAGGATTGAACCAAATAGAGTGTGACCCATGCATGCATTATTTTTGGGGTTTTTTTAACTATTTTAGATAATATTAAAGTTGAAGGAGCTATAGGGGATGGGCTACCCCACTATGTAGCCCAATGAACCAAAAAAAAAAAAAAAAGATCTCGGACTAGATTTTGATAGTATATTAATAGTTTTTAAGGTTTCCTAGCCTAGCCCAACCCACACCTCAAGCATAACAGTATTTGTTTAGGCATAGGACATGAATAGGCTTATCTGTTTAATTATAAAACTATGTTTTTTTACAAATTAATTTTTTATTTAATTTTAACTTATTATAAAAAAATATAGCATTCTTTATATATAAATATACATATATATATTAATATAAAATTTTCCATCTAAAATATTATATAATAATATATACTATTTATGCATATAACTTCCAAGTTGAGCTTAGGGGTTGCTTATTAGGCCCTATTCGCTAAGGCAACCATTGGACTTCAACAAGTTTGATACTTGGTTAAACTTCGAATCTAATTATCATAGATTTGGATGTTAGAACTTGCATCTGATTAATAATCAAATTGGATGTGGATTTAATCCCACCAGTCTAATTAAAATCCACGTCTAATAAAAAATATTATTATTATATATATGTAGTATAATTATGTATACATATAGATATTGTATATAATTATATAAAATTTATAATTAATAAATTTAATATTTAATATTTATATGCATTTATTATACATATATACTTTAAAAATAATTATTTTTTTAATTTTAAAATTTTGGGTCATTTTAAACACAATAAGATTGTTGTGGATTAATTTCAAAATCCAACATCATAGTCATATGTGGATGCGGATTTGGAGATTTCATAATCAAATATTGGTGCAGATGTAGTAGTGGATTTGATATGATTTCGAACCATTTATAGTTCTATTACGAACATTATGTGTGAACTTGGTGCAAATCCGAACTAGACCTAGCTCAAAAGAAAATAGTTGTTTGAGCATGGAAATTTATAGGTTTAGCCGATTTGGCCTAAGTTATAAATCATTTGTTACTTTTTATTATTAATTTTAATTATCCTATCAATACTAATTTTATTAATTTCTTAATTTTTAATAGTTGCTAGAAAAAAAGTTGCTGAAATTTAATATTTTTTACTGATTTTAGTTATTAGGTTTCAAATTATAATTTTCTAATAGTTAACCAATTAATATAATCTGAATATGCAATAAAAATTTGGGTGAGAATAAAAATCTCTCTTTCTTTGGAATACAATACACCAATAATGGAAGACACCTATAAAAATATGCTAAAATAGGTTAATGATGGAGATGGTGGGAACGATGGCTTAGAATTCTTCCTCTCATTATTTGTAAGTGATTTAACTATTATGATATTTTATTAACTAATTTGTAAACTATTATTTGTTTATGGGTTGGTTGGGCCCACACATGCCTTAAAGTATTAGGTCCAACTTGGCCCTAAAATATGTGGGCCTAATGGAGCCAAGGCCCGAGCCAAACTAAAATGATCACCCCTAAGCAAATTGCTTTAGGTTTATTAGATTAATGAGGGTAAGAGAGAAAAAAAATAAAAAAATAAAGGAAAATACAAAAAGGAAAAAAGGAAAAAAACAATTTAATGGAGTAATTGAGAGAGAGAATTAGTGGAGTGGATTATTAGAAGAGAGAGTTAATTGAATGATTAATGAAGTGAGATAATTAAAGGAGTAGGAGTGGAATTTCGGTTGATGTTGTTGAGTTCATTTGAAGTTGTACTTGGAATCAACTACAAATGTTCAATTTTGTATTAGTCTATTTATTATTTTATTAATATCTTATGAATACATAATTTTATTCTATTAGTACTTTGTTATTATTATTTTATTAGTCTTTAATAATTAATATCTTAGTATTTAAAATTAATTTATGAATATTTTATTAGTATTTTATTATTACTTTAATTTTATATTAATATTTTATGATAGTACTATTATTTTACAATATTTGTTAATAGTTTATTAGTATTTTATTATTTTATTAATATTAGGGTTTGGGTTTTTTTTTTTGTCATGAGTTCTTTACTCCTTAATAGAATTTGGAATGGGAATCCCATTGTACCAAGAATAGGATTCGGAATCCCATTCCTATCAAACAAACGGTTGGTCATTCCAATTTTGATTCCAGGCATCTATTCTAGGGAGCCAAATGAACTTTTATTGTCTTATGTTGTATTACTATCCCCCCCTCTCTCTCTCTCTTAAATATCTTTCTTTATGTATAATAACACGCATTAAGATGAGAGGCCTTAGAAAACCCAAAAGTCTTTTTTTCTCTAATAATGTAATAGCTCTCTTCCTCTCTCTCTCTCTCTCTCTCTTTGTGTGTGGACTCTCTCTTAATTGTCTCTCTTTAATAATATAATCTCTCTCTCATTTTCTCTCTTTCTTTAATAATATAATGTCTTTATAATAGTGTACAACTTTATTGATATAATTTGTCTAAACAAAATTGACAATGACTATTTTTTATATTTTCAAAGAAAAAGAAAATAAAAAATGTAAAAAAAAAATAGATAAAATACCTTGGTGAAAGGAGAGACCTAATGACACGATTGTACTTTTCTTTGAATATGTGATAGATGTGTGATCTCACATATCCTATGGTTCCAACAATTTACTAAAACACCCACTTTATTATGTCTTATTGACCTTCTATTAGATGGAAATGGAAATGGTGGTTCTAACCCTAACATCTATTTGGATAAATTTTAGTGGATTTATGTTTTAGTCCCATGCAATCCACCTCTGCATTTTAATTTATGTAATCATCCAGTTATGTAGATCAATCTAGGCACGTCAGCTAAATATATTAAGAGAATAGCCAAAATACCCCTTCCATTACCTACCCTAATGAATCCCTCCTTTCACCAAACACAACAAACCCCTCTTTCTCCTTTTACATTGCGATGATTATGGGTTCGATCCCATACTTCCACCATCATTCTTGGCAAGATTCCATTGTTGCTCTAGCCTTTCGTTGTGGCTCCTCATTCCATGCTTCCACTGTTGTTCTTGCCAAGCTTCCATTGTTGCTTCAGCCTTCTATGCGGCTCCTCCTCTAAACGTAATGAAGCTTCCCTACTCATTGGTGATTATGGTGACTATGGCTCCATTTCACTCTTCCATCATTGTTCTCGTCATCTAGCTTGAAGCTTAACAAAGTTTTAAATGCTCAACAAGCTTTAATTCTTGTTCTACGCTTCTGTTGTGCTTTCCTTGCATCATTTAATTTGTTTGTAGCTAAACTTTGCATAAGAGATTTACAATTGCCCTTTATTATAGGGCTATCAACAGGTTGTGTCCAAGTAGAACTGGGTCTGACCCAGAACCAAACCAAATTTTAAACCCTGAACTGAACTGATTTGTTCTTTGGACAATCGGGTCTGACCGAATGGGCTTGATAATAATAAACCTGTTAAAAATATTAAATATATAAGCATCTAATTTTCCATCATTTCTTTTTAAATATAAGTAAGAAATAAATAAAATAACACAAGCAAACAATAAATTTTCCAATTATTTGATTAAGACAGGTAAAAAACATATAAACTATTAATTATCATTCACATAAAACTCAATATATTATTAAATTCAATACCCAATACATAAAATTTATATGCTTTCCAACAATATGTGGGTTGGGGAGAGTCGGGTTTAGCCTAATACCATACCGTACTTGTACCCATATGGGTTGTAGAATCCCAAAACTTGTCCCAGCACCAAAATCCATCATTTAGGAAAAAAAAATCACCCCATCAAGGCGAGTAGGAGCAGGTACCCACTAGGTAGGGTAGAAATTTTCATTCTTATCTCCATTTCCCTCTTCCTTCCCCTCATTAACAGAAGACAAGAGTGAAAGCCCCGACTTGAACCTGGATAATTGTAGTCAAACTGTTTGACCCACGCCTGGGAAACATTTTGGGTTTGTGCCTGGTCTGAGTCTTAACACATTGACAGAAAAAGTATTTACAGTCTTGAAAAGCATATAAATTAATTGTTCCACATAAACCTTATTGATTGTATACTGAATTATGTGGGTCATGATATGAGGCCTAACCTTTTCCACACTTAAATGTTTTTGATGATGCATTTATTCTCTTTGCACTACCATCACTTATAAATTCCTATTTCCCAAGTGTGAAGAACTTATGTACTTTTTTTGCATTCTTTTTATACATGGGGTAAATTGTAGATTAATACCAGGATTTCAAGACGTGCTAATGTAGTATCTGAACTTTCAAAAACTTTTAGTTTAGTACATGTTGTTAGTAGTTTGTCAGTTATTTATATCATGTGACAATAAGTGCGATATGATGGGTCAACACTTACCAATTAGAAAGGTTTAACTTGAAATGGCAATGAATATTGTCTGATGGAGGCTTAAGGGAAATCTCATCAGATGGGTGGATATGTGATCCTTTATAGAAAATGATAATGTTATGCAATTGAAACAGTTGG